ACCACTTCCCTGGGCAGCCTGTTCCAAGGCCTGACCATTCTTCCAGTAAAGAAATTTTTCCTAATGTCCAGTCTACACCTCCCTTGGCGCAACTTGAGGCCATTTCCTCTCGTCCTATCGCTTGTTACTTGGGAGAAGAGACCAACCCCCACCTCGCTACAACCTCCTTTCAGGTAGTTGTAGAGCGCGATGAGGTCTCCCCTCAGCTTCCTCTTCTCCAGGCTACATACACAGAGTCCAGTAAATGCAACTTGAACAGACCTCACACCCTAAGGACGGACAGGCCAGGGGAAAAGGAATAAAATTACAAGCAAATGCTCATTGTAAACTCCTCTGCCTTCCAGTCCATGCTCCTTCAGTAACATACGGCTTCAAGGAGAGGGGACACGGATTCTCAGTGCACTTTTCCTCCGCTCACCCAACATCTCAAGTGGATGCAGAGGCACAGAGAGTCCCCACAGGCTGTCACCCTCAGCCAAATCCCCACGACGGCTGCTGGCACTCAGCACCGATGCCAGCGGGGTCACAAGACGCAGCAGAGCAGAGAACTGGGCCCTGTGTGTGTGCCGGGCTGCGTGGGCGTGCAGGCATCCGCATCTCCATACCGTGCCTCTGCCCTGCACCCTTTGTGGGGCATTTCCAAGAAGCAAAGCAGCAAACAGCTAGCTATGCACGTGAAGCAACTTCAATAGGAAGAGGTTATGGTTTTCTCCAGACCTGAGCGCAGACAAGCGTAAAATGCAATACCACCACCTTTTGTGCTTGTCTGCTTTCATTCAAATAGGGCTTTTAGGAAAAGAGTCAAAGAGTTAAATGCTGTTTGCATTTGTAGTTTAATGCGCTCTGGAAAACACTTGAGAGCATCTTTTTCTTTTCTTTGTTTCTAGCTGCGGACAGATCATTTCTTCTTGCTGGAATGTGCCAGGGCACTACACGGTAGCACACGCAAGGGAGGTTTCCTTGCGAAAATAACCCTATTGCAAACATTTGGTGATGGCAAACTGCTCTCAGCCATGGACATCCTTACAGAGTCCTTCCCAGTTGTGGGGGTGCTGCCGCCTCTGCTCAGCTTTGAGAGCACTTGGGTTTCCTCCTGAAAACCAGCTTCTTGAGGCTCTCTGTTTGGCTCTGTCTCTGCTGGGCGGTTGGATGCAGCTTTTCTCCGCTCATCCTGCTCAACGAGCATCTTGACCACAGGGGCTGTGTGAGTGATGTAGGCAGGCTGTGGGCGGTGGCACTGGATGAGGTGGCCGGGCAGACCCATGGTGGCCGAGGGCAGGGTGTACTCTGAAACCCAAGAAACAGACACCATGAGAGCACAGCCAGGTACCTCCTGGCTTCTTCCCTCTCTGGGAAGGGTTAGAAAGAAGGATGCCTTTAAGTGACACCAAGGATGCTCTTTGGAGCCAGAGCATGGCTGGGATCAGTGATGGCTTTGCTATCGCCATGGAGGGCCAGGCAGCACTAATGGACAGCAGTGCTATACCAGGTAGCTATTCTGCATTAAGATTTTCAAATAACCCATGCAAGAAATACAGATGATGTCCATTTCTACCCTTTTTGCCTTTATTTCTATACTTGAGCACAGGGTGTGATCGCACTGACCAAGGAGGAGTTGCAGAAGGTCAGTATTGCACTGAAAAGCACAGTAGGAAAGAAAAAAAAAAAAGGGGTGGGGGGGAAATCAGCAGTTCTCATTTCCACAGCACTGACCAATGGCCAAGATAGCACACGGCAGGACAAGACCGTACTGAAGATCTTTCCAGTCTCAGCTTTCTGCCCAAAACCCATTAATCACTCAAGTCTTGCACTTCAAACAAAGCTACAAGGTTGGTAGAAATGGCTAGAGGGATTAGACTGAACCTACTTGGGAAGATGTCTCTCCAAAGGAAACTTCAAAGCAGAAAATCCAAGGAAAAAAAAAATCATGCAGAGGAGGAAGATGCATTCAAATAGATCTTGGAAAAATCAGATCATCAGTATCAGTATTTTTAGATACAAGGCTTTTCATAAAACCAGCTTGTTTTCACTTAGATGTCATTAGTCCTTTAAGAGTTATATAGCACAAAAGCAGAGTTTTCTGACTCAAATATTGTACTTTTCACTAACTTTGCCTAGTACAACCATCAATGCAATTATGACTAGATAGTCAAAGTAGTAAAATGCAATCTTGCTTAGCACAAACAGCTAGGATAAGATGGTAGGAAAGTCCTGCTGATAAAGGCTCCCCTGAAGATCCATCGCTGTGAAAGGGACAAACTTCCACACTACAACATATTTAAAATTGGTCTGAAGCAAGCTCTGAACAGCAGCCTGCAGACAAGAAGGGAAGGAAGAACAGAGAGATGGAGCAACCATCCTGCAACCAGGCTTTTGCTTAAGGTATCCATACTTGGAGTTTGAGAGCCCCCCATGCATGGTGGACACAGCAGTCCTAAGGAGGAGGTGGGGTGACTCAGTTGCCCTCAAAACAGGCAAGAACAAGAAGTGGCTGCTGTGGAGGGCAGCAGAGGCAGAACATGGTCCTATGAAAGGGCAAGGCTATTTTATTTACAGATGTGGAAAGCCCGATCCACAAAATGATGCTAAATCTTATTCCTTAGATGCTTTATGAACCATTTCACACATGAGGAAGTAGAGGCCAATAAATACTTGTCACCTCCATATCCCTGTTCACCAGATGTCCCTGGAGGGCACAGCAGCCCTTGGTTACCCCTCCCCAAGCTCGGCCCAGCCAGGAGCACAGAGGAGGTAGGAGGCAAGCTGCTTCAGGGGGGATTTACAAGCCTGCCCACATCAAACACTTCCCTGTTCCTAAATCAGTCAGGTGGAGGTGGAAAGCCCGGTCCTTACTTCTCATCGTGCACTATTTTTTCTTCTTCAAACTGGGAATAATTCTGCCTCTGTTCTCCTCCTCTCCTGCAGAGGGTCAGTTCTTTGTGACCAAGCTATGATGCATATCAGGGAAACACCCAGAACAAAAACACACAGGCATTTGTTAGGGCTCTGACATTCAGCTGCGATACCCAGGGTCCTCATCAGAAAAGCGTGTCGACTTTGGGTGTTCAGAGATGGGGATGTGCAAGGACAGAGCCACATGTATTTCTCCCAAGGTTCCACCATGAGCTGCTGGTGGAAATTAAAAACAAAAAGCTTGGCGCTCCGAGTTAGAGTTTTAGAGAAATGAGAGCATTTAAAGAAACATGCTGCTTCAGATTATCTTCTGCTAAAGTTGTAGGGACAGAAGGAGGGAAGAAAAGTGTATTTTCAGCGGCTTCTGCACCAAACCCCATCCCGCAGGCTCTCAAGCCCAGGAACCTGCACCACGGCCACCACTCCTGCAGCCTCTGTCCGTGCCACGGCCGGTGCCAGATGAGCTCCGGGTGTGCAAAGCATCGGGAATTTGCTTTTACGTAAGCTGTGCTCCCGCTGCAGGAACGTGGCCGGCGCCGAGCTCTGCCTTCCCCGCGCTCCCCCTGCCCGGCCCCTCTGCGCTGCCAGCTATAACCCGGCACTCCTGCTGACAATAACTGTTTTTCATTGCATCCCAAGGGCGGGTGTTGGGGTTTTGCTCACTTCCCCTGCGTGAACCGTACTCTCTAGAAACAGCCAGCCATCCTCCCGGTGACAGAGACATCAGCAGATCCAGCCAGGACAACCCCATGAAGCACTAGCTGACGGCCCGGCAGCAGGGTAGTAGCAGATGGGGACAACCGGCCAACAGGCAACCCAGGCTCTTCCCGAAGGTTATAAATAGAAACAGCCTGACATGTTTTCAGAAAAAAAAAGTTTCCATGCCAAAAAGGTTTCACTGCAATCCTATTGCTGTAAAGTTATGTTGTTCCATACCTATGCTTTATGTTGTTCCATACTCAGCTTTACGATCGGGGAAAAAGTCAAACCCAAAAAAAGTCTTGTTTTAAATTATGAGCTTTCAGACAGTGGCACACTCTGTGCTTAAACAAAAATGTTTATTTTGACAAGCTGAGATAGTCCATGTCTCTTCAAACGCCTGTTCTGACTCACTATTTGGAGTTTTTAACCCAAGTAAGTCCTGTTACAGAACCGTTTTACAATTTAGCTCATCAGGTTAACGTGCAGCAAAAGCCACTGCAAGAGGGTTAAAAAAATTCGTTAGAGGACAATTCAACTATTTTCCAAGTGTTTCTGATGACTAGGGAATTCTGGCCCAGCCCATCCTCCGGAGGACCGGGGTGGGCAGCGGGGCACCCCAGCCTCGGCAGAAGGAAGCAGCACACCGGGAGCTGCTCCGAGCAGCGACCGCTCAGGACACATCGGCCCGCCGGCGAGCATGCATACGTGCAAGCTAAAGGACTGCAGCCCGGTCGATAAAACAGCAGGATCAGGCACCAAACAACGCTAACGAGGCACAAAAAGAGCTGATCTGGAGCCCTTTTCCCCCGTTTTTATAGGCTGTAGCTTAGGTCTTTGTAAAATGAATAAACACACCAAGTGAAACCCGGGCACCTGGCCACCGCACGGGGCTGAGCTATAAATTTAATTCAGCGGTAACAAAGCCCGTGGAAAGAACGCGGTGCACCCCAGAGGAACAGTGAAACCTTGCTGCCTGTTCCCAGGCCGGACCCAAACAACTGCAAGATGGGTGCCAGGGGGTCAGGGAGGGTGACAGCAAGGGCCACAGCCAAACCAGCAGCACCAGCCTCTTAACAAAGCAAACACAAGCTTAACATGGGTGAGGACCATGCCATAAGGAGATGGTGAGCTGTTTCTGCATATAGCCACGAAACAAAATGTGCTGCATGTTTTGCAGAGCAAACAAAAAGATCCAGCTTGAGTCCCTTGCCCAAACAATCAATTGTGCAATAAAAAGGCAAGGAATGAGCACAACGAGGCGGTGGAATCAGGAAGGACAAGGGTTACGGTGCCGAGATGTGGCTCCAGCCCACACCTCTTGCTTGCACGTCTGGTGTTTTCATTGGAACATTTACCTTTGCTGCACCAAGCCAGATGTTCCCAGCTCAAAGGGTTTCTGATGTGAAGAGGCTAGCTAAGCTCACGAGTTCGGGGCAGGAGGACATGTGCACGCGCTAGGCACGTCTCCTAATGTTTCAGTGTTTGCACAGTATTATTTTGATCCTGGATAGATACTGCTGCTCATGTGATATTCATGTAGGCTGGAGTTTCAAAAGGGCCTTGGGCTCAGCTGTGTTGCTTAATTGCTACAGCATCATCTCACAGGGCAATTAAATAAAAGGGATTTAGAGTTTCCTAAATGGTAAGGAAAAAAAAAAGCAGTGTGATGGACAGCAACCCCAGTTTGGATATTTGATGAGGAACATTTGGTGACGGGATGAAGTTTGGATACCCACCAGGTGAATTTTCCTGTGTAGTTGTGGGTGCTTGGGTGCAAAGAACCTCAGATAAGGCCACAAGACCTGCCTTCCAGCTTGCCCATGTTGGAGTTCTGAGACAGAGGCTGATGCAAATCCCAGACATTTCATCTCTGACCTTATCTCTAGCCCTTCCCAAACCAGCAATGACTAGAAAAGCCCCAGGGAGAGAAAACACAAACACCACCCTGACCACAGAGCCTGGATCCATCTGCTTTTCCTGCATTACGTCCCTGTGGAGGCCACCACAGAAGTGACTCCTTCACACCAAGTTCACACCAAAGATGTGACAGGAGACAGCCAGATGCCACGACAGCACTGGGAGCTGAAGAAGGGAATAGAGAGAAGGTGCCAAGGGAAAGCCCAGAGCTGACAACATCTCAGAGCAAAACGAGATGGGATCATCAGCCACCGTTTGTTATTTACAGTTTGTGTTTGGCTACTGGCCTGGAAGTGATTTCAGAGCCCAGGGAGAAAAGGCTCTGCAACATCCCTGGGAATCCTCTAAGCATAGCAGCTCCTTTGCTTCATAAGCACCTGCTAGTGAGACCTGTCTCCAGGATTGTCCTGGTAAAGGCTTTCCAGAGCACTGCAGTGACAGGGTTATTGCCTGCCATTGCCTCTGCAAACCCCGCCTGGGGTTTATCTGAAGCTGTCCACACCAAGATATCTGCTCACAAACCACTCCAATGGGAAGTGTTCCAACACACTCCTCTCCCGTCATGACACCAACTCAGGATCTCGCCGACATGCATCGGGGAGCACCATGGTGGGATTTTCACATTCCCTCCAGAGTGGTTTCCAGTGACAAACCTGACCCTAACACAGTGTACCCTGGTAGCACAGAAACCAGCTCAGCATCAGGTCTGGCCTGCCACGCACCACCCGATGCAGCTGAGACAAGGCACATGTCTT